TGCAGTAGTGGCTGCATGGTTTTGAAATTCCAAAATTTTAACAATTAAATGTGGAGGAATTTCTGCCCAAACCTGCTGGGTTCCAAAATTTGTTCCTGAGTCTCTGGGACCATGGCCGTTAAGCAGCTTGATCAGGAGACAGAAAGGCCGTTCATTTTTTAAAAAAAATTTTTATTAGTGAAACACCATGAGGTACAGTTGTAGACTTACAAATTTTTGTGCTTGGGTTTCGAGTATACAATGATTAAATACCCGTCCCTCCACCAGTGCCCATTTTCCACCACCATGGATCCCAGTATCCCTCCCACCCCCATCCCCCATCCCACCCTGCCTCTGTGGCAGGGCATTCCCCTTTGTTCTCTCTCTCCTTTGGGGTGTTGTGGTCTGAAAAAGAGGCATTGAGTGGCAATCATGTTTGGCCTAGAGTCTACTTTCAGCATGCTTCTCCCATCCTGGGAGGATCCTCCCAACACCCTTTATTTAGTGCTCCCTTCTCTATCTGAGCTGAAAAGGCCATTCATTGGCGGCAACTCGGAATCTCGTTGGGATGGGGAGGAAAGGGCCAGCTCCACCCCCATTCTGTGAGGCCCCACGTGTCTCATCACTGAGGGCCCAAACCTGACTGTCCAATGGCCTCTGGAGGATGGCAGCCACCGAGCCACCAAAGGGGAGCCGGCTGAGGGACAGCACCCTTTCCACCTTGGGGTAGCCTGGTGACAGTAACCTACTGTGGACCTGGATGCATTTCTGCCAAAAGGTGCTGGTTTTCAAGATTTGTTTCTGAGTCTCTGGGATCTTGGCCGTTAAGCAACTTGATCAGGAGCCAGAGAGGCCGTTCGTGGGCGGCGACTCAGGGTCTCATTGGGGTGGGGAGGAGAGGGTTGGATCCACCCCCATCCCGTGAGGCCCCACGTGTCTCATCACTGCGGGCTCAAACCTGATTGTCCAGTGGCCTCTGGAGGATGGTGGCCACTGGGCCGCCAGGGGGAACAGGCCAAGGCACGAAACCTATTCCCACTTGGTTGGCCTAGCACCAGTATCCTACTGCAGGGACCAGATGCATTTCTGCCAAAAGCCACTGGGTTTTGAGATTTGTTTCTGAGTCTCTGGGATCACGGCCATTAAACAGCTTGATCAGGAGCCAGAGAGGCCGTTCGTGGGCGGCGACTCGGGGTCTCGTTGGGGTGGGGAGGAAAGGGCCGGTTCCACCCCAATCCTGTGAGGCCCCACGTGTCTCGTCACTGCGGGCTCAAACCTGACTGTCCAGTGGCCTCTGGAGGATTGCGGCCACTGGGCCGCCAGGGGGAACAGGCCAAGGCATGAAACCTATTCCCACCTGGGTTGACCCAGCGCCAGTAACCTACTGCAGGGACTGGACACATTTCTGCCAAAAGCTGTTGGGTTTCGAGATTTGTTTCTGCGTCTCTGGGATCATGGCCGTTAAGCAGTTTGATCAGGAACCAGAGAGGCCATGCCTCCAATTATATAGTTGCATGCGTCCAATTATATAGTTGAGCCCGAGGTGGTTTGTGGGTGTGTCTCCCACATACCTAACTTTTGGCCGTTTACTTTCTTGGTAAACTTGGCTCCAAGTTTTTGGGGTCTGGCCAAAGGCACAGCAGCAATTTTGGGGTATCTGGACATCTAAAGGCACCATCAGGCTGCTGAAGCACTCGCCTCACAGGTATAGACTGACCTGCTGGCGGCACCATACCCCCATGCCTTTTATTTTTCAAGCTGTGGGGGCTTCCCAGGTGCTGCTCAGGACACCTCAGGAATGCCCAGTAGTTGCCCTTAGCTGGCAGCTGAAGCCTGAGGATGTGTTGCTCCAGGGACGACGCAGCCACACTGGTGGATTCCGGGGCCTCCAGGGCTGCACCCGCTGATGCTTGGGGATCTAAGAGGTGCCAGGAATGAAACTTGACTCTGCCACCTGCAGGGCATGGCCTGAACCGCTGAACTAGCACTCTGCAATGGCCTTTTTAAAAAATGAATGCGGCATCACTATAGGTCAAGTCCAGCTTTTTAGGCCACTGACGATACAGCCTGACATTTGATGTTACACAGAGAACTTCAGAGCAGGAGACAGCCTCTCAATCAGAGCATGTCTTTCTTTTTCTTTTTTTTCAGCTTTTTGGGTCTTACCCGGCAATGCACAGGAGTGCGCTCAGAAATTACTCCTGACGGTGCTCAGGGACCGTATGGGATGCTGGGAATCAAAACCAGGTGGGCCACATGCAAGGCAAATGCCTTAACCACTGTGCTATCACTCCAGTTCCTCTATCAGAGAGTTTCAATAAAGAACCAGTTTCTAGAAAGATGAATCCTCTGGCAAAGGGGGCTGGTGAAGGAGAAGTGAGCTGAGAACCTCCAGGTCGGAAACTAGAATTTTTTTTTCTTTTTGGGTCACACACCACGATGCTCAGGGGTTATGCCTGGCTCATGCACTCAGGAATCACTCCTGGCAGTGCTCAGGGGACCATATGGGATGCTGGGGATCGACCCTGGGTTGTCTGCGTGGAAGGCAAACGCCCTACCCACTGTGCTATCGCTCTGGCTCATCTATCAGAGAGTTTCAATAAAGAACCAGTTTCTAGAAAGATGAATCCTCTGGCAAAGGGGGCTGGTGAAGGAGAAGTGAGCTGAGAACCTCCAGGTCGGAAACTAGAATTTTTTTTTCTTTTTGGGTCACACCCCGCGATGCTCAGGGGTTATGCCTGGCTCATGCACTCAGGAATCACTCCTGGCAGTGCTCAGGGGACCATATGGGATGCTGGGGATCGACCCTGGGTTGTCTGCGTGGAAGGCAAACGCCCTACCCACTGTGCTATCGCTCTGGCTCCGGAAACTAGGATTTGATGATAGTCACACCTGGCATCCACGTCCCTCTGAACCAGCCCCCTCATCCCTTCCTGCTGTTTCCTTGTGTGTACAATGCAGAGAATGGTCTGTAGCCCGTGGAAGTGGGTAAGGATTCTTGGAGGCCGTGGTTAGCATGGGGCCCTAGGCTGGCACCGGTTCTCGCTCTGGCTGCCCCATGCATTGTCCTCATCTTCCCTGTGAAGGAACCTCCCTCCTGGAGCTTGCCCAGCTTGCCTCTGAGGGCATAGCTGTAAACCAGAGCCAGGAGTTGAATTCCAACGGTCCGGCAGTAAAGATGCTGCCTTTTCCTCCACTACTGTGCCACGAGCAAGCGATATAGATGGAAGATAAGAGAAGCCCGAACCAGCCAGGGTTGCCCCTCTGGTGATCCCGATCCAAGCTGGGAGTTAGTTCTGCGGTATTTCCCTCTGCTGTCAGCCAAGTGCCATCTGCCATGATGCAGAAGAAAACGTGACACAGATAATAAAAGTGGTGGATAATAAAAATAATTTCTCCTTGGACATTCATTATGCAATCACTGGGGAGAGGGCGCTCGCTAATTTATCTTCCTAATTATGTTTTGCTTAAGCTGATTTTAAAATTAGTTTGTTTACACTGAGCACACACTGATTAAGAGCAGGGAGAGGTAGCCTGCAAACATCTTGGGTGGTAAGAGGGAAGATGTCTTGAGATTTGGGGGGAATTTCCATGGATAATTTTCATGGCGCTATAGGGGAAGGCAGAGGGCTGGTCTGTGGATGGTGCTCTGAGCATAAATAATGGTTGGGATTTGGTTGTTGCTGGTATTTTACATGTAAGGCAAAGGATGGCAGACTCAGAGGGTAGAATGGACCCTCAAGCTTCTTGTTTATTTTCCTGTGTGGAGAGTTCAGGCAAGGCAAGTGGGTAAATGAGTAAGGCGCTGGCAGAGAGACCTATCTGGGGCTGACTCCAGGGGACGCCGTCTGTGCATAGCCAACATCGAACTTCTCTTGTACTGAGAGGTGGGCTAGGAGTGGCAGGTGCTGAGACGAACAGGGAAGCCTTCTTCCCCCCATCATTACCAGTCTCCAGTAAGAGGGTGGGGGTGGGGGGTGGGGACTGCATCACGGATGAAGGAGAAGGCACTTTGGGAAACAGGAATCACAACCCGTGGGATCTGGCTCCAGAGCATCCAGGGTCTGAGTCCAGAGTGAAGCAAACACATGGCGATGAGCTCTCTGAGCTGCACCCTCACATTTAGGCCCAGCTGTGTCAGGGTGGGGGGTGAGCAGGGGCGCACCTGCTGCCTCCCTGTCAGCCAGTTTCTGGGTGTGTGTCCCCATGGTGACAGAACTGAGGCTAAACCAAGGTCCCTCCACTTTTCTGCTCTGCCCAGAGTGTAGCAGCTTCAGAAGCTTCAAAGCATCTGGGTCTTCTGATGACTCCGCCTTCAGCTGGACATGCCCACAGGGTCCAGCAGGGTGAAGCTTCAGCAGCCTCAGGGCTCTTCTAACCACCTCTGTCATGCCCTGCCACCCCACCCTCCATCTCCTTATTGGAGGCTGGTAATGATGTGGGGGGGCCTTCCCCACACTCACACACACACACACACACACACACATACACACATGCTCTCATTAGGCCAGAAGTCCTTGAGGTTAAACGATGCACAGAGAGAAGAGGAATTTTCTGTAGATAATCCACTCTTTGGGTGTCCTCGCTCTGTGTTCAGGGATTACTCTTAGTGGTACTTGTGGTACTTAGTGGTACTTGAGGGACCATAAGTGGTACCGGGGATAGAATTGGGGTTTGCTATGTGCAAGGCAAACACCTTATTCACGTTGCAGCATCTCTCCAACCCATCAATAGTACACACTTTATTAATGCCAAGAAAAGAAGTGGCTTTTGTTTGCTTTGATATGGTGAAGCAGAATAGGATTTTTGTTTTGTTTTGGAGCCACACCTGAGAACTTATTCTTGGCTTTGCATTTAGGAATCTAAATGCTGCTCAGGGGACCTTATGGGATGCTAAGGATCAAACCCAGGTCCACCCCCTGCAAGGCAAACACCTTACCTGCTGTACCATCTCTCTGGTCGCAGAATAACTCTTTTTTTTTTGGTTTAAAAGAAATTTACTTAGAGAAATGTGAGGGGAGAGAAAGTGAGAGATACATATTCTGGAGAGAATATGAGCTTCTCCAGAGTAAAAACAGCTAACAATGACTATAGGGAGAAGGTTATATACGGTTTCTCCAGATTGTCTTGACCTGGAGTTCTCTGCATACATGAAAGGTAATCTGGTTGTTGACATGGAAAACCTTTGATTCTTGGATGGTCTTTTCATGTTCCACCAGGATCTTTAGATTCTCCTGTCGCTTCTCCTTTGCTGAGGGGGTCCACCCTTCTCTGGATGGTGCTTCAGTTTCTCCATCTCCAAAGAACTCAGGATTTGCATCTTAAAAGAAAGGTGCTCTTCATGCCTTTGGGCTACTTCAGAGGCGGGCATTTTCTTCTTATTTTATCATTTCCCAAGAACTCATTACCAGTCACCACCCCCCTGTCTGTCTGCCTGCAATATTTCCTCCTATACCTGTAAGAGATTGAGGCCCTTAACATTTTTAAGGGGTACATTTAAGCCAGAAAGGCCTGGCTTCTGTAACTGCTTCCTGCTGGCAAAGGGCACAGAACTTACCTGTGTAAGAGAGTGAAATCTCGTGGTAACTTAGTGTTAATGGGGCCCAGGCAGTTGGTTCCAGAGGTGTCAAAGGCTGAAAGAGAAATCAGATAGATGAGAAAGCATTTAAAATATTAGGCCCAAGAGGAGAAGAAAGACTTTCCCTGGTTCAAGGACAAAGTGTTATACACTGTTGTTCTTTTGTTTTGTTTTGTTTTTCTGCTTTCTGATTAGTCTGTTGTAAAGTAACATATTAGCTTCTGTTTCTGTTGGCCTTTTGTACAAAGATATGTTCAGATTTTTAAAAAAAAGTGTACTTACCTTTTAGTGTTTTCTTCAAGTCCTCACTCAAGAGGTTCACAGCAGTTGTTCGATTTGCTCTCTGTTGAGTCTGATGGCGTAGACAGAGCTGATTTTACCCTGCAAACTTTCACAGGTTGTCTTCCCTTCTCCTGGAGAACTATCTCTGAAGTTTCTTCACTTTTCCTCCAGAGTGGCTTGCCAATTATGTTGCGGGTGACTTGGGTGAAAGTGGATGAGGGAAGTAGCCTTGAGAAAACAGTGTTTCCTCCTCCTCTCTGCTTCACCCACTTGGCCACCTGGGGACATGCCTGGCATGGGTCAGCACTAGTAAAGTCAGCCACTGATACCAGTGAATGTTTGTGTCCCGCCAGCCCTGGGAGTCAGCCAGCAAGTTATGCCCGGAGCCCACTTGTGCCTGGCACAGGAATGATCCCCATCACCTGCGTTCACTGGGAGCTCTGGACCCAGGTTGGAGCAAAAGAATTGCTCTTTGCAGGAAAAAGGAAAGTCAGTCCTCACCTTGGCATGGGCGTTCCAGGAGCACTGCCTTCCTCTAAAGAAGAGAATTTCAGGAGGAGGCAAAACAGTGAAGCCAAATAGTTTTTTGTTTTGTTTTGTTTTTCTTTTTTGGTCACACCCAGCAATGCACAGGGGTCACTCCTGGCTCTGCACTCAGGAATTACTCCTGGCAGTGCTTGGAGGACCATGTGGGATGCTGGGAATCGAACCTGGGTTGGCCCTGTGCAAGGCAAACGCCCTACCTGCTATGCTATTTCTCCAGCCCCCAAATAGTTTTTTTTTATTGAAAGTAATTTCTTTAGTGAATTGTGAGGAGAGTGAAAGGGAGGAAGAGATACATATTCAAAAGGGAACAGGGCTTCTCCAGACTGGAAAAAGCTAAGGAGTTTCTTATTTTCCTGGTGCATGAGAGATGCTCAGTGAACATTTACGGAGTGAATGAATCATATTCCAATTGCTTATTGGATGGTGCTGTGTCTTGCCAAGCCGTCTCCTCGCCATCAGGACCCTTGGTGCTGTGGTACTGTTGGGCCGGTCTGTCCTCAGCTCTCTAGGATCCTGTCTCCTCTTTTCAGGCCAAGTGGAGGTTCCTGTCTCCAGCTGCCACCTCTTTGAATCATTTTCCTTCCCATTGGAAGCATTCAATGGACAGCTGTTTGCCCAGTACTTGGAGGTTAATCGCTGACATTTGCTGAGTGCTTCCAACCTGCAGGCCCTGAGCTAATGTTGGCCCAGCATCCTCCCTCCCACGTCCCTCCTCCACCCTCCAACTCCAAACCGCCCAGTCAAGCGGAGGCCTCTTTGGTCCTGACTTTCAAGCCAAAGAAGACACCCAGAGGCTGTGTAACCAGCAGGTCATGCAGTAGGTGAAGATTCATCCAGTCTCTGACTCAGGAGCCCCACACTTCCAACTCACTGGACTGACTCTCCTCCCTAGTCCCACTTACTGTGCACCATTGTGGGTATAATCATTTTATTTTATTTATTTTTTGGGGGGGTGTAATCATTTTAATTCACATATGTTTTTTATTTCTAAAGAGTCTCTTTTCTACTTCATTTATCTTCCTTTCATGAGTTACTTCTGTTTTGAAGCCCCACCTGACAGTGCTTAGACTACTTCCCAGCTTGGCCTGGTGCTTAAGTGTCACTTACAGGGTGGCTCAAGGGTACCGTGAGGTGCTGGCAATCGGATCTGGAACTCTACATGCCAGGCATGTACACCGGGCATTTGGGTTATATCTCCAACCCCTTCGATGAATTATTTCAAAAGTTTTAGTGTAGGAAGTGTGGTCCAATAGTAAAGGCATTCATGTTTATGTTGTGCTTAAGTTTATTTGCAAGAGTTCTTTGTAAATTTATCTGTGTTGGATATTTCCAATTTTCTCATTGCTGATTGTCACTGTCTTTGATATTTAAAATGTATTATTTCATTGTAATAAGTAAATGTGTATATAATGATTAATATCTAATGATCATATTTAATTTATGTAAGCATAATATATGTAATAAGTACATCTTAAGTATAAGTAAGTAAGGCCCTCCCGTTGATCATCGATTTGCTCGAGCGGACCCAGTAATGTCTCCATTGGAGACTTTGTTGTTACTGTGTTTGGCATATCAAATACTTCACGGGGAGCTTGCCAGGCCCTGCCGTGGGGACGAGATACTCTCGGTAGCTTGCCGGGCTCTCTGAGAGGGGCGGAGGAATCGAACTCGGTCGGCCATGTTGGCTGCGTGCAAGGCAAACGCCCTACCGCTGTGCTATCGCTCCAGCCCAATGAATGTATATACTTATAGAGCCATGACTATAATCAAGATTGAACATTTCTGACTCTCCTCAAATTTCTATTGTGCCATTTACATGGATCAAGTTTCTATTATTTTAGTTTATTTCCCCTCCTCCTGACCATTTTTTTGTTTTTTGGGTCATACCTGGCAAAGCTCAGGGTTTGCTCCTGGCTCTGCACTCAGGAATCACTCCTGGCTGTGCTTGGGGGACCATATGGGATGCCAAGGATTGAACCCAGGTGGCTGTATGCATGGCAAAGGCCCTACCTTCTGTACCTACTCCACATTCTGTGTTTTTATTTATTTTATGTTTTCACAGTGCTGGGAAAGTAAAGGTTTGATATAACTGGAATCATACTGTATGTACTTCTTTCACAAACCGTGTTTTTCAGATTTGTCCTTGTGATTATGCTCCCAAAAATCAATAATTGAAAAATGAAAGGGAAAGTCATTGTGAAAAAAATCTTAATATATTGACAAAAGATTGATATTCTAAATGTACTTACATACAAAAATCCTATGTTTTGGGGGCTGGGGAGACATTGTGGGGGTCAGGAGCATATGCCTTGTACGTTCAGAGTTCTGAGTTCAGCCCCTGTCCTTGGTTTGTCAAGGATCTCTGGGAGTGGCCCAAGTTGCTTAGCACTACTTGAAAAGTCCCCCAAATTAAGAAAAAAGTTTTTATGAATTCAAGTCTATCAAATAAATTTTTATTATTTGGAGGTAGGGCCCACACACAGGTGCTTGGGGACCATGTGATGCCGGGACCCAAATCCAGGCGGGGCTCAGATCTTCAGCTACCATATGCAATGCATGTGCTTGACCCTGGAAGTCATCTCCCTGCCCACCTTTTAAGTTTATGTTGATATCTTTGGTATCTTTCTTAAAAAGACATTGTTATCACCAACATTATATAACTATTTATAATTTCCTGGAATTTCTGTAATTATAAGAATCTAAAATTAAAAAGTTGAATCTTTTTAGTATATCAATCAGAATTACTTAAAACACTTTTCAAAAGCAAATTATACCAAGACCATTTATTGATAGTCTATCCTTCCCTTTAAATCCAATTTTAGTGTATGTGCTGCCGAAGCGAGCACCCTTTAAATCCTTTGATTTGAAACACCATGTCTGTTAGATACTAAAATATTTATAGACATCCGTTATCACTGCTGGACCTTTTATTCTGTTTACCAGCCTTGAGCATTCTTATCAGTGCTGGTGTCTTTTGTTTTGTGCTCCTGAATACTGTGTGCTTCTCTCTTTATCTCTTGCTCTCTTGCTCTCTCACTCGCTTTCTCTCTCTGTGTGTGTCTCTCTCAGTCTCTCTGTCTCTGTCTCTCTGTCTCTGTCTCTCTGTCTCTCTGTCCTTCACCTCCCTCTCTTTTTCCTCACCTCCCCCCAATCACGCATGGAAATATAAAAATGTCCTCTAAGCTGACTATCTTTCCCCACCAATCATCTTGATGATATCTTAGGATATAGCGATACTGTTTCTCTCTTTTTCTTCCCACCTCAACATGATCGAGGAATTAATAACAAATAGATGTACATGCATTTAAAATGTACAATACTATTTGTTTTCAGTATACATATATTTGGTTGTATGATCACCAAATTGAAGACAGTTAAGCATTCATCATCTTTAGAACATTTTTTTGTCTTGTTTTCATGTGTTTGTGGACCACACCTGACTCAGGATTCAGGGCTTGGGGCTCATTCCTGGTGGTACTTGGAGGGGACCAGGCATTGCTGGGGAATGATCCAGCAATGCTACGTTCAAAGCATGCACTCGAACCCTGTGAGTTCTGGCCTGGGTCCAAGCACATTCTTGATTTTAGTACTGAATTTATGTTTACTCAGTAAGAATGATACAGAAACAACAATCATTCAGGCAAATTGGAAGATGGTGTAATACTATCCAGTCACTCAGTGGCTTCCATTTTAGCAATGAGGAGGGAGATAATGAGCTACATTTTCAAATCACAGAAGTCAATTTATAAATTGCCTTTCAAGTATACAAATCTGTAGGTGGTCTCTAAAGAATTATGAACCCTTCATACTAGTTCTTAGTAATAATTGACTTATTTGCACAAAGAATTGATTACCATGTTTGCTTTAACTAGACCTAAAGGGCTATGTACTTGGTTTCAAATAAAGAACACAGGTTAAAAAGGGGGCATTTATCTTACTCATGGCTGTGAGGATATTGATCAGTGGTAGAACACATGCCTTGTATTCAAGAGATCCTGAGTTTATTCTGGCACCATCAAAAATAAAATTAAGTCAAACCCCAGCACAAATAAATAAAAACCTCTATTCATGGTAAAGTTATGTGAAAATGATAAATTGTTTCTGTTACTTTTCAAAATAGTTCTTAATATACAAAACTTCAAAATAGTAATACTTCAAGATGATATTGATACTGCCCATGAGGCAGGCAAGTAAGTATACATCAAGTTGAAAAGTACTGAATAACTTCAGAATTCAATTTTGTAGTAGAAATGAGGGTCGGGAATATAACTTTGCGGATAACCCAAGACAACAACTTATAGAGGGAGCTGGAGAATTAACTTGGCAATCTTTTGCAATCATTCCCCTCTTAATATAATTTCTACCTACATTTATTCTGTCTTTTGAGAAATTTTTGTTTAATTTATTAAAAATAGTATTCTTAAACAGTGTGTTCATTTGGCTCAGTTGAAGTAATGGACAAGAACACTTTGCAAAGGCTGACATGCTTGAGAAAATTAAGGTGTTATTTATGACTATGGTTCTGAAGGGAGAAAGTCTGAAAAATAAAAACATTTATTGACTATTGGATACTGTTGATAGTGGGACTTGTAAGAAAATCTTCATTTCCCTTTGAATAATTAACTGGTACAAAATTTTCCAGTCGCGGTTTAGAAAACAAAAGCTTTCACGTGCTAGCTACAGACCAAAAAGTTCTCGTGCTCAAGGA